CTAGTAAACCTGCAGATTGAGAGCGAAGTGCTCTGTTAGGAACATACAGTAGCAGCCATTCAGAATGGCCCTTCCAAGTCAAATGCCAGCTGAATGGGAGCCCACTTCCCTCCAACTCCCAGCTAAATCCCCTCCATGAACCCAACATATTTTTTTACATTGACTCCACCCTTTTATTGAATTACAGGCTCCGACCAGGAGGTGATGCTTCTCTTTAGATCTTAATGTCCTCAAATCATGACAGAATATTTTAGTGCAAAGATTGATGTTTGAAAACGAATTATAAAGGAATGTTGGGGAATTTTGAATGGCTACAACTGTAAGGAACAATCAGATCCAGAAGGAGGATTTTAAATTTTATTCTGGATTTAACAGGAAGCCAATGAAGAGAAGCCAGGATAGGAGAGATATGATCTCTCTTTTAATTTTCATCAGAACATACAAATACTATATGTATAGAAGAGGATTAGGACCACTGGGGGAAAAAAAAGGTAACAGATTTTTAAATATTTCAGGTTAATATGGGAAAAAATTCAGAATTCTGACTTTAATCTCAGAATTGTGGATCTTAATGTAGATGGGCACCATGAAGGCAGAGATGTGGAGCTCTCAGCTTCACTGACAAAGATGTGAGCTGTTTGGGAGAAACAGGAACACATTGGTGGAAAATGATGGAATTAGGAGACTTTTTAGGTCCCTGAGGGTCCCTGCTGATGCTATTTCATTAATGGAAGAGTAGAAGGTAATTAAAACCAGACAGCTAGTCTCTAAAACAGACATGGCTACAGCTTGATGCTAACATGTTTGCTAGCTGTCAGAATTCATATTAATCGGAAATAATATTTAAAAACATGTTATCTTTTTTTTCCAGTGGTCCTAATCTTCTTCCATATAAATGATATAATTTGAACTGCAAAAAAAAAAAAAAAGAAATCAAACGTGTTCGGTTTACTTTGAAGTTGAAAACCGGAAGTGTGTTGCGGTGCTGTTGCGGGTGTTTTCCAGCTCCGCAATGAGGCGGGATCAGCTGATGGGAACTGAGTCAGAACTTCCCGGACTGTCTGACGTCACAAGAACATTCCTGCCCGGAGCAGCCGGGATCCGGTGGGTCACGTGACCGATCCCAACCAGCTTCAGGGAAACTCGGCAGGTTCGGGTTTGATTCTCTGTCGCGTGATTTTTGGACCGTGCGGTAAAAAGTTCTGGTTCGGTTCTTTCAATCCGGCTGGAAACAGACTGATGAGAAGGAAACCTGAGATCCTGTGAGTAGATCTAAACTTCTGTTTGAGGCAGAACTTTTTTCTCTGTTGTTTACGGCTCTAGTTCCCAGATTTGGATTCATCATCCTGGTTCTGGAAAGTTTCTGAGATGCAGATAAATGTGGATCAAAGCTGATGAAACGGGATGAGTTTATCTTCTGATATTTATTAAAAGTCAAAGAAAAAACAGAAACATCTCCCAGAATCATCTGGGATCATAGTTCATCCCTTCTTTCTTCTTTAGACAGGGGCGGATTTACCATCAGGCAACACTAGGCAGGTGCCTAGGGCCCCAAGTTCCTGGGGGCCCCATAAAACTGTGTTTACATGTATGG